CCCAGGCCTGCCAAACAACAATGATGGCTGCAACCAAAGAGTAGCCCGGCGTTGTGGCGGGTGCCTGTGGTTCCCAGCTACTTGGGAGGCTGAGGCAGGAGACTTGCTTGAGCCCAGGAGATGCCACAGCACTCTACCCAGGGGGATAGCTTGAGGCTCTGTCTCAAAAAAAATAAATAAATAAAAATAAAATTAAATCTGAATACTAATATGTTTTCAATTGATAAATAAAAGTTATATATATGTATCATGTACAACACAGTTTGAAATATGCATACATTGTAGAATGGCTAATTGAATAGTAATTTTTTTTTTCCTGAGAGAGTCTCAAGCTGTCACCCTGGGTAGAGTGTTATGATGTCACAGCTCACAGCAACCTCCAACTCTTGGGCTTAAGCAATTCTCTTGCCTCAGCCTCCCAAGTAGCTGGGACTACAGGCATCTGCCACAACGCCCAGCTATTTTTTGGTTGTAGTTATCGTTGTTTGACAGGCCCCAGCTGGATTCGCACCTGCCAACTCCGGTGTATATGGCTGGCATTCTAGCTGCTGAGCTACAGGCGCCGAGCTGACATGTATTCTTTTACCTCCAAAGTTTATTATAGGATGGTGGTATTCTCCTTCTGGCAAATATTGATTTTTAACATGCAGCTGTTTTGTATTCAGCCAAAATATGTATTGGGTACTTCTATGAATAAATGCTTAGCTATGTGTCCTTTATTTAAAATAGTTACTTCACAGAAACCAGAAATGATTTGTAAATCGAGTCACATATTTATTCTAAGGAAGAATACCTTGATTATCTAGAATTCAGGCACTCTTTGCTGCCATCTTGCATCCTCTATCTTGTCTCTTCTGCTGCCACCAGCTGGTTTCTGCTGCTGCCAAATTCCAGAAACCAGCAGGATTCAATTCAGTGCTCTGTTTTGACTGCTGGGTCCCTGATGAGACAACAAAGTCACTTGAATAACTTAATTTTTAAACTGGAAACAGAAGAGCACAATCAACTCATTTCCTATATACTTTGGGCTATCAGATAGCCATATGGTAGCTGGTGCTTGTCCCAGTAAGTGGTCCAGACAAGCCTGAGGCTAACAAAAGAGAAGCCATTTCAATTCTTACCTTAATATTCTCCTCCCAGGGAAGAATATTGTTAAAAACTACAACTCATATATGAGCAAACAAAGGTCAGATCAAACACAATAGTGTGCCAATAATCTTAGTATAGTTTTAAGCTTTAACAACTTCAGAAGTACAAATTCTATGAACTTACACAAAATATCATTTGAAAGCAAAATTATTTAAATTTCCTTCATGTTTACTTTATGAAATTTTGAACATTAAATGTATTTTAATTTTTTGTTTCAGTCAACATTTGCCATCTTCTGTTAAAGGGACTAAAAAATTAAAACTTAAAATTATTCAAAATTCACAAAATGAAATATGTGTAAGAAATTTAAATAGGCTCCATTCTGGCATCCATAGCTCAGTGGTTAGGGCACCAGCCATATATATACCAAGGTAGGCGAGTTTGAATCCAGCCCAGTCTTGCTAAACAACAATGACAACTGCAACAAAAAAATAGCTGGGTGTTGTGGCAGGCGCCTGTAGTCCCAGCTATTTGGGAGGCTGAGGCAAGAGGATGACTTGAGCCCAAGAGTTGGAGGTTGCTGTGAACTGTGACTCCATAGTGCTCTACTGAGGGTAACATAGTGAGAGTCTGTCTCAAAAAAAGAAAAGGAATTTAAATAAACTTGACATGTGATGGTTTTTGCAAGTTTCTAGCATTTATACTTCAGAAATTATCAAGGCTTATGATATTTCACTTAGAAGACATTGTAGCTTTGGGCAGTGCCTGTGGCTCAAGGAGTAGGGCACTGGCCCCATATATTGGGGTGGCGGGTTCGAACCCAGTCCCGGCCAAAAAAAAAAAAAAA